ATGCTGGAAGACAACAGCCATTTAGTGAGCTCTGATTAAAAGCTCCTTTTACACCTTCAATGAAGGGAAAATAAATGCCACCCCTCCCCCTTTTTTTCTTAAAAAGGAACTTTTATTAAAGTGTATTTTAAATTAAAATAATCTTTAGAGACAATTTTTGGTCATTCACGTTTTGAATGTCAGTTTCTTTTTCCATTAATATTCTAATGGTATTTCCCATCCTCTGCATTTGGAAATGGCTGAAGTTAGTGAGTGATATGACAGACGTCTAGTCGAGAGCAGGAGTTTGATGGCTGAATTAGTTAACCTTCAAGCCATTATTCAGTGACAGAATCTAATGAGCCAAATAATCTCTTTCTGTATAAAATTGTATTAAACAAATTACAGGGTCTTGAGAGCAACTCACCAGGCAAGGAATATCTCACATATGTATGAACATTTTTCTTCAAATAATAGAAAACAATTAGAATAAATTTAACATTAACTTGTATTTAATTTTTTTAAAATATATTTTTTATTGATTTTTTTACAGAGAGGAAGGAAGAGAGATAGAGAGCTAGAAATGTCGGATGACAGAGAAATATTGACCAGCTGCCTCCTGCTCACCCCCCACCAGGGATATGCCCACAACCAATGTACATGCCCTTACTGGAATCGAACCCGGACTTTTCAGTCCGAAGACCGACGCTCTACCGCTGAGCCAAACCGGTTTTGGCTGGTATTTAATTTTTTAAATTAAATTTCATAACAAATGTAGCACTAACTTTGAAAACAAAATATTAAAAACCACAACAAGAGTGATTGGATAGACCCACCTTTATTGCTATAATGGGGTTCCATGTAAGATATGAAAAATCCCAAATAATTTGGTGCCTTTAAAATATATATATATTCAAGCAGTTTCACTCTATCTTCAGCACTCGGACAATGAGGAACACCAGTCAGTGTTCAAACTCCACTACCATCAATTCCTCTGCAAGGGGAGCACAGCCAAGGGCAAAGGACTCAAAGGCTAGAATGGAAGTGCCATGACAGTAAAGGTTTTTTGCTTTTATTTTGTTCACTGACTTATTTCCAGCCCCTCGACCAGGACTCCGTGCTTAATAAATACTGGAAAATAAAAGGCTGTCCTAAAAGGTCCTTATGGTCCTCCCAAAGTTGAGAACAATCAATACAAAGAACAACTGGCAAGGTTGGTGGTGTTCCACTTAACAACAAACCCTCTTTTCTCCTTTAAGGTGAGATTTCCAACAGCTCCTTATAATTTAGTACTTGTCCGTTAGCACAATCTATGAAAAAGGAACAGAATTTTCACTTCTCTAGGCTGGGAGAGGCAGCCCCAAGCTATCAGAATGTCACTAGAAACTACATGGAGGTATTGTGTGGTGGGCACTGCCTGTGACCACTCAGTTTATCCCATCACTAGAGAAGTCAGGGACATTCTGACAGATACTGGGGTCACTGTAATATTCTAATGTAGAAATAAACCCCAGTGCTTCTCACTGCAAATCTAGTGAGAAGGGTGGCCTTATTTTACATCTTTTGCAAGTCTTTTTACTGCCTAGATTTAGGAAGACAGCTGCATTCAGTTGGTTGAACATCATGTGGCCTTTGGAAAACTCCTCTGTATACCTGTAAGCAAGTAATGTATTAGTATTGTTATGGAAATAACTTTGAATCCTAAAAGAGTCTCGGAGGCTTCTGGACCACCTTCAAGACACTGCTGTAAAAGATATGTACACCAGGAATCTTAACTTTGATGAACATTCAGAAGCAATTTTCAAATAAGAGAATAGAGTTAAAAAAGATGAAGAGAATTTTTTTAAAAATGGGGGAGGAGGGAGATATATAATACTCTCAACAATAAAGATTAATAATAATAATAAAAAAACACACACACACAAAACATAAAATTACATAAATCGAAAAAAGGAGAAAAGGCCCTGGCTGGGTACCTCAGTTGGTTAGAGTGTCCTCCCAATAGCCAAGGTTGCAGGTTCGATCTCCAGGAAGGGCACATACAAGAAGTAATCAGTGAATGAATAAATAAGTGGAATGACAAATTGATGTTTTTTCCCACTCTCTCTCTACCTTCTTCTCTCTCTCAAATAAATTTAATAATTTTTTTTTAATAAAAAAGATGGGCCGAAACCAGTTTGGCTCAGTGGTAGAGCATCGGTCTGCAGACTGAAAGGTCCCAGATTTGATTCTGGTCAAGGGCATGTACAATGGTTGCGGGCACATCCCCGGAAGGGGGTGTGCAAGAGGCAGCTGGTCGATGTTTCTCTCTCATCGACGTTTCTAGCTCTCTATCCCTCTCTCCTCCTCTCTGTAAAAAATCAATAAAATATATTTTTTAAAAAAAAGATGGAAGAGGAAAACATTACATTTGTAGGCACACTTCATAGGAAAGCCAAAAATTTTATCAGCATACTTGTTATTTTAAATGTCACTGATTCTTTGTATTTTGCCATATTTCAACAGAAAATGAATTGCTATTTGAAGAAAAGCCAATGTTTTTCTCTGACAAGACAGACCGCAGAACAAAAACCTCCACATACTATAAGCCTTCCTTTCCCTATATAAATATCAATTGTTAATGCACATTTACATTGTAGACCATCACTTATCAGTGACATTCTAATTATAAGACCTATAAGTCACCTTTCTCCTGCCTTTTCATCTCTTGCACAACTTTCTGCTGACTGTCATTCAAATATTACTTAATAGAACAGAAGAACAATTTCCAATTACCAATCAGTTCCAAACTGCTGCCCAGTTAAATCTTTCTGTCTGCATGTTTCTATGAATAGCAGCTAAATGGTAATCTACAAATCAACTCACTCTAATCCATATTAAACATGTATTTGATTCTTAGCTAGGTAGTGATTTCTATCCACTCAATTCCTAATGAAGCAAAACAGCTATATTCATTTAAATATGGTCAAGAAAATAATCATCTCACATCATTTCCCCCATACTTAACAGGCTACATAATTTCAAATTTTCCTTCTCACAAGCAAGCAAAACTAGATTTGTTATGGTGACTCTTTTAGGAGACATTTGGTTTTTCTGTTTTATTTAAATCCATATTCACCTTAGGAAACCTTAAAAGTGTTCATTAACTAGACCAGCACTACTCACAGGACAGGTTCTGTGACTTTGGACAAATTACTCAATTTGTGTCTCACTTTCCTCAGCTTTTAAAATGAAGATAATAGCTGAAATCGGTTTGGCTCAGTGGTAGAGCGTTGGTCTGCGGACTGAAAGATCCCAGGTTCGATTCCGGTCAGGGGCATGTACGTTGGTTGCAGGCACATCCCCGGTAGGGGGTGTGCAGGAGGCAGCTGGTTGATCTTTCTCTCTCATCGACATTTCTAGCTAGCTCTCTATCTCTCTTCCTTCCTCTCTGTAAAAAATCAATAAAATATATTTTAAAATGAAGATAATAATAGTATCTACTTCATAAGTGGATGACAGGATTAAATGAGATAATGAGTAAATGAGTCAAGTACTAAAAAATGGTCTGACACATAATAAATAATCAGTAAATGTTAATTTGTTTTCATATATGTCTTTTAAAATAGAGCAGAAAGAGTAGTATATGATAATCAAAGAGAACCATAAAATAATATAGGAGGAAAAATATTAAAAAGAGGTGACTTTTAGTGTCCTTGCTTCTTGCTGACAAGCCATGAAAAATATATCAAAGACACTTTCAAAACTATTAGAATTCTGTGAAACAAAAAAGAAACTCAAATGACCTGTCCTTCAAAATAGACAGAAGGAATCTTAGGAAATTTGACATACCTTTTCAGAAACAAGAGAATCCTGAGACCAGCTTTGACACAGATACTTTTATGAACAGGGTGAAACTATCATAGCCCCCAAATAGGTGTTTATTCATACATACCTATAAGCATCATGCACATCATAAGAGATACAGTAAGAGTGGAAGGTGTACAACTCTATTTTCACTTAGTCTAGTAGCATAATCTGAGAGAAATGAAGCTTGAAACCAAAAAGAAAACTTTCATGAAAAAACTTAAAAATCCTTGCCAGGGTTTAACCTTACCCTAGAAGGTGTAAGTCTTGGGCTATATCAGACAAAGATTAATCTGTGGAGGGCTGGTACATAAACATGTTAACTGGAAGACATATGGGAATTATAGCTAACATTTACTGAGCACTTGCTATCTTCCAGGCATTATTCCAAGTTTTTTATATGGATTAACTAATTAATCTTCAACATGGTATGAGATAGGCATTTTATTGTTCCCACCTTATACCCAAGGAATTAAGGCACAGAGAAATTAACTTACCCAACTATAAAGTTAACAGTGGCTAGTCAAAACCAGTATGACTCCCAAGCCCAAGTTTTTAAATACCAGGCAAAGAAGAAGGTTGCACAAATATGTATCATATACTGTATACTTCCTGGGAGGGGGCTAAGATGCAAGCTTTGGACACCTGTTTAAATGATTCACAATAAGAATGTACAGATGTAGGTAACTAAAAAATGTTATCTCATCAATTTAGTCACATCCTTTACTGGGCTTTTTATGTAATTCTATTTGATTGCCAACTGATATAAAATCTTCACTTGCCTAATGAATGGGATCCCCATGGTGAGTCTGACATCACAGCAGCTGGCAGTATTTGGAGAGCAAGAAACGGTGACAGGTCATGACAGACATATTCTCTATACAACCACCACCAGTAAGCTTCAAGACCTGCCCTAGACTTGTTTTTGTATGGTTGCTGGTTCCCAGATCCCATCTTTATCTTCAAATATGGTTGTGTCCTTTCTTAGCTTAAGTTAATCCATAGTACTGAAAATTTCCCAACAGTGAGAAGGAAGAAAGTGGTGAAAGTTCAGAATGAAGATAAGACAAAGATAGAAACTGATTACTCACACTAATAGTATGCCAACCTTGGCAACCTATTATAGATTGGCCATACATATGCTATTAATAACTTATTATTACTTTATTTCTTACCCATCAAACAAGTTCTTTTCCATCTTCTTCCATATTATTCCCCAGTCATGGATTAGGTTTCCTCTTCTCTATTACCTACGGAGGAAAATAATCAGTAAGGCTGGGCTAATGCATGGCAAGAGAAAAGCAATTTCATGAATTTTATTTATAAATTTTAAAAAAAGGTACATAAACATGTTAACTGGAAGACATATGGGAATTATAGCTAACATTTACTGAGGACTTATTATCTTCCAGGCATTATTCCAGGTTTTTTATATGGATTAACTAATTAACCTACATCCATATATCAGTATATTACAATGCAGCTTAATGAACTTAAGTACTCAACATTAAAGTAAAAGAGTAAAAAAAGCTGTAGTCTTTTTTCAGCTAAGAACAACCAAAGATTCAGTTACTTATGAATAAACTGATCCATAAATGAAAGTATGAAAAGTTTATGTCTTGAAAAAGAACACTTCTGCATTTGCTTTACATTTTAAAGATTATACATGTCAGAGATCCACGATGGCGGCAGACAGAGAAATAGAGTGAGCGTGCGAAAGAGGAGTGCATGGACATGTGGGGTGTGTGTGTGTGTGTGTGTGTGTGTGTGTGTGAGAGAGAGAGAGAGAGAGAGAGAGAGAGAGAGAGAGAGAGAGAGTTGTATTCCACAGGACTGTTGGGGCTGGTGATCTAGGCTCCCCTAGCAAGGCGGCCTGTCCTACCACTAAAGTCTCTCCCGGGGTGGCTGGCTCTGCCGCAGAAAACACACCATCTTGAAGGGGACAGCAGCTGTGACCAAGAACCAAGTCTCACATCAACCTGGGGAGACCTCCAGGATGCTACAGCCACATCGGCCAGGGACCAGCTGCCTCGGCTGTGAACCCATGAACACCTAGACTCCAGCCTCCCTGGCCGTGGGCGCCTCAAAAGTTTGTCCAGGGGAGACAAAACGTTGCCTTCTCACGGAACAGACAGAAGAAACAGCTGAATCGAGTGATATCCACAGGGAATTGGCGCATTAAGCACAGCAAGAGAAACAATCCATGGACAAAAAGATCAGAAGTAGCTGGGAGACTGGCGGGATCGCGGATCTGGGCTGGAGGGAGAAATGTTCACAGCTGGGAAGAGAGTGTCAGAGGGAGGCTGCGCTACACCAAGTCCCGTACATTGGGGACACATGGAGCACTCAACTATGGAAGAGTGTCCACAGGGCTGCTGGCAGCAGGGGACACTGGATCTAAACCCACAGCCATGGGAGGCTGTGCCCAGAAGGGCGGCCTGGACCTCTGCACTGGCTGTGCAGCGCTAGGGGGAGAGAGAAACACATGCGGCGGTTGCTCTGCCTTTATAATTTCCTCACTTTTACCTGCTAAACCCAGGATCTTTCAATCACAAACACTCACTGTGGCTGTGGTGCCAATGAAACCAATGAAACAATATTTGTTAAACTCAAAAGAAAATATGATCCAATCTAGAATTCTATACCCAGGGAAACTATAAATCAATTATGAGAGAAAATGAAGACATTTTCACATATGTAGATTCACAAATTTATACCCCACGCACCCTCTTCTTAGGAACTTTATGGAAGAATTGCTTAATTAAAGTATCAACAATAAAGGAGGAAGATATGGGATCCAGGAAATAGAGGGCTCTCAACATAGGGAGGTGAAGGAAATACCTAGGATATGTGCGAAGGTAGATCCCAAGAGAGTAGCTGAGCAGGCCTAGAGAACAATCTGTACAGATTTTTAAAAATAGCAGTCTGGCCAGTGTGGTTCAGTGGTTGAGCACTGACCTATGAATGGGAGGTCACAGTGTGATTCTGGTCAGCCCGTATGCCCGGGTTGCGAGCTCAATCCCCAGTGTGGGGCATGCAGTAAGCAGCCAATGATTCTCTCTCATCATTGATGTTTATATATCTCTTTCCCTCTCCCTTCCTCTAAACTCAATAAATCAATAAAAACATGTTTTAAAAAATAGCAGTCTAAGACCAATATTTAGAAAAATGGCATTAAATATCAAAAGAAATAGCTCAAAGAGTAGAAAATGGAGGTAACTGGAGAGGATGAATGTTGCGGGGAGTGGATAGTATACTTTATATAGGCTTAGTATTGATAAATATTAAATTTTAAAAGACTCTTGTTCTGGCCAGGTGGTTCCATTGGTTGGAGTGTCCTCCAGTACACCAAAAGGTTTCGGGTTTAATCCCCAGTGGGGAGCATTTGAGAGGCAACCAATTGATGTTTCTTCCTCTCAAATCAATAAAAACATATCCTCAGGTTTGAATTAAAAAAACTTTTAAAAGATTCTTGAAAAGCTAAAAAGGATGTTTTAAAATCACACCTATCCCTAACCGGTTGGGCTCAGTGAATAGAGCGTCAACCTAGCAACTGAAAGATCCCAGGTTTGATTCTGGTCAAGGGCATGTACATTGGTTGCGGGCACATCCCCGGTGGGGGGTGTGCAAGAGGCAGCTGGTCGATGTTTCTCTCTCATCGACGTTTCTAGCTCTCTATCTCTCTCCCTTCCTCTCTGTAAAAAATCAATAAAACATATATTTTTAAAAAAATCTTATTTATAGATGTGACTTAAAAAATATATTTTATTGATATACCTTGGTTGCAGGCATATCCCCAGTAGGGATTGTGCAGGAGGCAGCTGATAGATGTTTCTCTCTCATCAATGTTTCTAACTCTCTATTCCTCTCCCTCCCTCTCTGTAAAAAATCAATAAAATATATTTTTTAAGTCACATCTATAAATAAGATTTTTTTAAAAAATATATATTTTATTGATTTTTTACAGAGAGGAAGGGAGAGAGATAGAGAGCTAGAAACGTCGATGAGAGAGAAACATCGACCAGCTGCCTCTTGCACACTCCCCACCAGGGATGTGCCCGCAACCAATGTACATGCCCTTGACAGGAATCAAACCTGGGACCTTTCAGTCCGCAGACCGACGCTCTACCGCTGAGCCAAACCGTTTTCGGCATATAAGTAAATTTTTTTAAGCAAGATTTCTAAGAGGGGAAATAATGAAAGAAAAATAAATTTTCAAGACAGAGCAATATCAAAGTACTTGGAAAATTCTACATCTTAGCCTAGAGTGTGACTTTGAAAAAAAAATAAGAGCAGGAAAAATATTCTGCTCATAGATACGCAAAAAATCATAACTACAACACCAGCAAAAAGAGAAAACTGGAAGAAAACACTTTAACATATTGTGTATTATTGGGGAAAGTTCATGGTTTATAGCTATGTCAAACACATCACAAATTAAATTTCCCTTTTCAGTCAGTTAAGCAGATGCTAAACCGAAGTCAATGAAAAACTTGATTGCATCACATTTTAGCCAGAACTGAAAACACTTAAAAAATCATGTTGCTTCCTCAGGAAAGGAAAGCACAAATACTGTGAATCTGTTGGAACAAGGAAAAAAGCATTCTGAGTCAGTCTTTATCCTCTCCTGAAGACTGAACAAATAATAGTGGGATTCATGTACAAATCTGAAACAACTGCTGCCCAGCTTCTTTATTATCCCAAGAAGTTGCATCTCAATTAGGAAATATGCTTTTCTCTATCCTCAAATACTTTACATCTATATTTTCTATGGCCCTTTCACAGAAAAACTGGAAGTATAATCTAGTATTGTTTATCATATTTAATATAACTGGAGTCAATGAGTATTAAGTACGTAGTTATTGATCAAGTGATAGGCTCTTCATGGACAAGCAAGCAGAGGTGTTGCCTGCTATTTACTCAGTTTTATGACATTTGAAGCACTGTAAACAGGGGGAAACCACTGGATTTGAGGTTTTTATAAAAATAATCTCCTACTGCCAGGACCGGTTTAGCTCAATGAATAGAGCGTCGGCTTGGGGACTGAAGGGACCGGATTTGATTCCGGTCAAGGGCATGTACCTTGGTTGCGGGCATATCCCCAGTAGGGGGTGTGCAAGAGGCAACTGATCGATGACTCTCTCTCATGGATTTTTCTAACTCTCTATCTCTCTCCCTTCCTCTCTGTACAAAATCAATAAAATATATTTTAAAAAAATAATCTCCTACTGATTTTTGTCTAGGGGTGACTTCCCCTCCCCCCCCAAACATATTTTTATTGATTTCAGAGAGAAAGGGAGAGGGACAGAAATATAGAAACATCAATGATGACAGAGAATCATTGATTGGCTGCCTCTTGCATGCCCCACACTGGGGATCATGTCCAGGCATATACCTTGACCAGGAATCGAACCATGACCTCCTGGTTCATAGTTCAATGCTTAACCACTGAGACACTCAGGCTAAGCCAAGTATAACTTTTATTTATTTATTTATTTATTTATTTTTATTTTTTTAAATATATTTTATTGATTTTTTTTGCCCCCCTCCCTCCCATACATACCCCAAGTATAACTTTTTAAAAAGTCTAATATGCTGAAGCACTTTCCAACCAAATCTATTCTAGTAAAAACACTTGCTCTCAATTTTCAGCATAAATAAAGACAATGAGAATAGATTAGACAGGTGGTTTAATTGTAGCATACCTTATAGCTTTCAAATTGAATGCTTAATAATGTTTGCTTCATCATTTCTTGCCATCAGGAAGAAAACACACTTTAAACTTTTATATAAAATTTGATGTTTTATCCTTTTTGAAGTCTGAAAAATGCGTTAATAACTCACAAAATATAATGCATAACCAAAAGTTCCTCCAGCTTAAGAAAGTAAGTATACTACTATGTTTACTGTTTTATGCTTACTTTACAGAAAGGAAACAGCTAACTAGAATATGAAGAAATGCTCAAACTCACTAAGAATAAGAAAATATAAATTAAAATGAGACATTATTAAAAGGCAAAAATGAGAAATGTGGACAATACCAGGTGCTGGGGTGATGGGGAATACAATGCCTATGGGACGTAAACTGACACACCCATTTAACAACCTAACAATATGTATTCCACAATGCCACTGAAAACACCTAAAAAACTGTATTGCTTCCTTAGGAAAAAAAAGCACAAACACCGCGAAAGCACAAATACTGAGTCTATATCACAAAGAAATTCTCAAACACATCCATAATGAACAT